AAATAATAATAAAGTTAAATATATAATTAAACAATTTTGTTTGGTAAATTTACATTTCCATACATATTACACTAAAAGAAGACATGATTAAGTAATAAAATAAAGACACTGGGCACAAATACATATAGAGAAAGTTACACTTGCATACAAATACTAGTCCAAATATCTAAGCAAAACTTATACAAAAATCTTGTAAAACAAAATACACATGATATAAGGATAGCCAAAATTCTCATATTTTTATAGGATCATAGCATTACACAAAATGTTTAAAATAGGGAGATAGTAATCATTAATCATAATAATTCACAAAAGAGGAAGGTGGAGGCTTTGCCTTCTTCTTATTAGGTGAACAGAAGACATCAGTCAAAGCAGTTGGTGAGTCTAACGAAGCCTTGAGCAAAGCAAGCCCCTAAAACAATCAAATTTAATAACACACATCTATGAAACAAAAATTATCAAAGATCTCTAAAAAAAGCATTAGTTTGATTATGAAGTAACCTCTTTCATGCCGACGGTGACCACCTTCTCCATTAGTTGAACATCATTTTTCATGCTGAAGCGATTCATAAGAGTGATGCTGGAGATTGCAGACATAGGCGTCACTTCCAAATCATCTGTAATCATGTAAGTGATTACTCCCTTCACAAAGCCTCCAGCATTAATCTCCCCTCCAGTTTCAGCTCCAGTAGCTGAAGAAGTTGAACCCGATGGAACCACGAAGGCAGCTTCGGTGACCATCACCTGCTTGCAGTTTGGGCACACGGTGCTTTTTACAGTAGTGACTTTTCTATTGCAATGATTACAAATATAGTATTTGAGTTCTGCAATGGCTTCTGTGTCGAGAAGTAAATGATTCTTAACATTAGTGGACACTTTCGGTTGAAGTAAAGAGGATTTGTCTCTGTTTGGCACAAGGTAAATCTCGTTAAGATTTTCTACGCTTTGATACAATTTTCCAATAGATCCAATCATAGTTGGAGGAGCGAGGAGTTTGATGACAGAGCCTAGTGGGAAAGTAAGAAGGCTGAACATGAAATCTACGAAGTCTTTATCAGCCTCACCGAATAGAACTTTGTGGCTACGATCATCGATCAGAAGTTTGAGAGTGATTTTTGAATTCAAATCTGCCATGGCTTCTTTGTAGAGCTGTAAAATTGGGTCGGGAGGATTTAAGAAGACAAGAAGCTCATATGAAGTACATATAAAGGGTTGCTGAATGCTGATGCCTTGTTCTGTCAACTTCCAACTACGCCTGCTAATTTGAACTTTTCCAACGTCAAATCTTTCTTACACTTTAAATGTATCATAAATGTCGTAGGATTCAAAATGTACGGAGATTATGATTTTAAGGGGCTGTTTGGTATGCGGATTTAGGCGGATTTAGGCGGATTTAAGGCCGGATTTGGGCGAA